TTCTTAGTTTTAACAGTATTTATGCAATATTCAAACATGTTAATTACATACATATACTAACACAGGGATTGGAAACCAAATTAGAGCTTGTATTAATTCCTCTCCCAATTCTTGCACATTCTTGCTACTTACACCATGCAGTGGGTATAACAGCATGGTGTAAGTAAACAATTTTCTTAATCATAAGAATATATTTACCAAGAATGAAGATTTGATGGAAACAAACCTGCAGTTTCGCACTGCTTGTCGTGTTATCAGACTATTGTGGGGGGTTTGCAGAATCGTAGGTTTTCTTCTACCTATAATCACATTGTCTTCTACCTAGATCACATAGTCTTGGGATCTGTGGTTGCTTTTTTTCTTTTCTGTAGTACCGACAACACTAATAACCCTAAAAGATTATCATGTATTTATTTAAAGAAAATGCGTATTTAATGAGTTAAACATTCAAAAATTTAACCATCACAAAACTATCACATAATCATCACAAAATTCCCTAAAACAATATTAGATTATCATGAGAGTAAAGTTATTTCTCAAGCACAAGTTTCGTTAACAAAGTTTAGAGTCAACATACACATCTTAACCAGCGGAAAAACAATAATAAAAATCGGCGATGATCGACCATGCTTTAACATACAACCACATAAAAGACTGGCATAACTCTTAAAGTGCATGAAAAGAAGAACAAACATGAGGAAACTCTAATAATCAATCGGGGTTTGGAGGGAATGGGAATCGATGAACAATGAAGAAGGGGGTCACGATATTAATCATCTTTATGACCCCATTTTAACATCGAATAATGGGAATTTGTTGTTGATCTTTTAATACAATGTAGTAGGGTTATTTATTCCTTTCACCTTCCCCTCGCTATCAAAAGCATACATTGTCGTGTTTATATCTATATCTTTTTATATTTGTTATCTGTCTTTTCTTTTCTCTCTTACATAACAAACTTGCTTCTATTTATCGGGCTGACAGGATACCTAAATTAATCTACTGTCCCCATTGCACTTTTTTTGGAATCTTTTTTTTATTTTATTTTATTTTTATTTCGCACTTTCTTTATCTTATGTCGACATTGTCTCTTGAGCACCCGTCTTCAACGAATTGACCTTATATTAGCAGTTGCAACGACGTTAGACTCCACACTAACAAACCTTGAATCATCACCTTCGCTGTTAAAACTGGTCTAAACCAAGTAAACTAGTTATCGCATACAAATCGCCCACTCCAGCGTATTGGTTGTATATGCAGTTTGCTACACCAGAGCCGGTTTTTATAATAATAATTTTCGGGATCGATGCGCCATGTTGAATAATAAACAACCATGGAAGACATTCGGACGCATACCACATGTCTGCATTATACGTATTAATTGCTGGCTACCAGACGTCATATCCTGACTGTAAATGTTATAATGTCTTGTTGAGTTGGATCCACTACACAAATGAGAGATGCTGATTATCATTCAAATAGGGAACATAGGGAATACCGACTTCTTATTAGAATATGACATAAAGGATAACAACGAGCACGTTTTACATGTATACCCAGAGGTAACGTCGACTACACAAATAGCTGGCAAGAGATGATGCCCTTATAAATTTCGTTATTACTATTAATATACATTCAATCAATAGTTGTGTATCACTTTTAACGCAATAACAAAATATACATGACATAATTGTTATTGACCAAACATTATTTCACACATCAATGGAAATATCGATTCATTACTTGTGTAAAAGTTTAGGAAATTTGTAAACTTTAAAGAGTTATATGTGATGGCTGTCTGCTTACCAGGCCTAGTCTTCGATCATGACCGATATACCGGAAGTTGATATACTGTTCGGAACTCAATAGCAACAGCGGAAATGTTCCGAGTAATTTTGCGCGACTATTGCACGTGCAAAGTGCCGTGTTTTTGCCTATTTAAGCCGGTACACCTATGTGCTTCGGCAGTCAGAATAAAAGTCTTGACAGGACTGGTTCGGCTCACTTCTTTTCTACTTTAGGAGTAGCTGTAGGTAAAGGGTCTCTAAAACGTTATAGGATAATGTTAGCGTAGATAGTTTACCAGTCACAGCACTAGCAGTAGTTTCTCTGTAGCCATGTAGTATTTTTGTAGGAGTTTTAGAGTCGTGTTTGAACCATGTCGTCGTCTATTTAATAGGTATATGGCCGTGTAGCCGTCATTATATCATTCCGTCGTATATTCAATAAGCATATGGCCGTGTAGCCGTCTGTATATATAGTCAGTTAGGCATTGTACCACCTGTAAATAAAGCCCTGTTATTGAGGTGTATGCGTGCTCGAGTGTGTGACAGTGTGGTCTAAACTCATGTCCCTGTGCGTAGATATTTCATGTCACCCAAGATCACCGAACCTGGGTGTTGATTTTGAAGTGAAAAACCGATCCTTTTACACTTATTAACCAGTGAAATATCAGATATTATCTTTTGGATGAAAAATGATATCTTCATTGAACATGTTAAATATTATATGATTTTCCTGAGAGTATTGACATATTAGAATAGTACTTTATATTTACTATATTCAAATTGTATTTTTATTGTATTTTACATTATTTGAACCAAATCGACAATCAGTATAAGGTCATCAACTAAAAAGCATAATAATCGTTCACCACAATTATAACATGATTGAAAACAAACTGGGTTCAGGAAAATAATAAGGCCCGCTGTATCACACAGCATATTGTAGTAAACTGCTAACCTGAAGAGTCGGAGGAGGGTTGTTTTCCTGTGTGTTAAGGGACTATAAAGGCTTTTCAATTGCTTTTTATTTATTTTCCGGATGTCTCCCCAGGCACCCGTCTTTATATAAAGGCCTTGACTGTTGCGAAAAGTTGAACCCAATACAAATAAACAAAACTGAAGCCGCAAGGTAAAAAAAAATGGCAAATAAACTGGTGGTATACATTACATATAAGTGCTAAGATCAATTGAATATTGAAAATGAATACTGTTAACATAGCGTAATTCAAACTAATAATCGAAAAACATGGGCCAAATATGAATCACATGAGGATAAAAAAATGTACAAAGTATCATAAACCCATGCCATTTATCAATACTACAAACATTGTACCAATCAAACGTTTCTTTGTTGGTACCGTGGATATCAGTTGCCAGACGTTATTACCACCTTTATCCGATCCTCAATTGCTAGTAGACAACACATCTCTTTTCCTGGTTTCTTAGTTTGGATTATAAGGTTCAATGTCCGATTAGCAGCTAACAACAGATTAATTTTATTACCGAATTTCAAGGGTGCAATAACCTGTGTGCGTGTAACGTTCATCTTTCTCATCAATTATTGCAGTAGACATGTGGAAAGAAAAGAGAAAACAATTATGCCAGTGACAGCTGGAGGAATTCGATTACCAGAGTTTGCCCTAATGCTTAATGCTTTGTAGCAACTACCATGGTAAGGAATTTGGTATGTCCTTGCCTGTAGACCGAACCAAGTGCCTTCCTCACATGAAATCGGATAAGATACACATACCAGGTGTTTTTTTTGCCGGTCTTCTTTATAAAATCTGTGATACTGACAACACACTTATCAAATTACACCACCATTTAAGGAAACTGTGTCGTCAAACACGTTATATTTGAAACCTTTCTTATTTTTTGGAGTAAAGTATTAGATTTTAAATATTATTTCTTTTAAATTTGAAGGATGCTTAATACTACAACCGTATTAAACAAACATTTCCGAATCAAGGGTGCCAGTGAAAAAGAATAGACACGAAATGTTATTTGGTATTGAATTATAGTAATTTTTTAATATTATAAACCCGATAGACTACTTTATTGCACTACATGATGGTAAAAGATGACTAATGTCAAGCCCCCTACAATATTTTACTTCTGTGTCTTCTACTAAGACGACATCCAGGAGACTAAACTTGGTCGACTACCCCCATTGCAACCTTGGGTTCATTTTCGTTTCTCATCTTTCCTGTTCATTTTCTTTTTCTATTGCGCATCCATTGCATTATTTGGTCACTTTCTATTTATCTCTACTTCTAGCTACGTTTTATTTCCTAGCGCCTTGCTTGCCAAAACCTCACTTTCGGCTTGAATGTTGAGCGTTCGCCCAGGCGAGGAAGAAAATGGGTTCTTAAAAATAGAAGTTAATCTGTTGTCGGTATAATGTGACCGGGCGGAATGCTGTGATGGGTGCCTTCGGCATGGTATTTCAGTGAGTAGGCATTATAAAGTCGGCATCAGATCCGCACTATCACAAGGAGGCAAGTACACTTTGTTTGTTTGTTAGTTTGATTTTGTTTAACGTCCTATTAACAGCTAAGGTCATTTAATGACGGCCTCCCCTGTGTGCAAGATGCATGCGTGTAGTGTTTGTGTGTGTATTTTGGGAGGCTGCGATATGTTCGTGTTTGTCTCCTTGTGATAGCGCGAAACTGATGCCGACTTTATAGTGCTACCTCACTGAGACATACTGCCGAAGACATCCAGCAGGACGCCCCACCCGGTCACATTAGGAATTGTTTTTCAAAGGATTACCTTCAGCGAAATACCACTATAAAGTCGGCAACAGATCGGCTCTATCACAAGGTGGCAGATACACCAGCATCCCATGTTTCCGGCACTCAGACATGCACACATACACGTATGCACATCAGGCACAGGAACACTCCTTAAATGACATTAGCTATTGTTGTTAAACCTTCAACAATCAATCCATCAATATCAATGTGTTCTTAAATGACCATAGCCGTTGATAGGACGTTAAACAAACTAAACCAAACTACGACATTGAAGAGACCACAATTGATCTGCTTCCTCTATTACAGCAGTTTGGATCCATGTCTACCTTTTTCCATTGGAGTCTCCCTGAGCACCCGTTTTCATATGAGCCTGATAAAACAGGATCGATATCAATGCCGTTTTTGAATAGATTAGTTGTAATTGAAATGTAAAATGAAGGACTCATTCTTTATGTTACAGCTCTCCTGTTTTGTCCATCCACTAAAGTGCCGGAGATCACCGTCGCTTTCCAAAGGAGGGTCATAAGCCTTAGTTTGAGTGAAGAGGATGGAAGCGTCACCGCCTCCCGTCTCCCCAGTAATTCTGTCCAGTTTCATGTCAGACCGTCAACTACTTCATCAACCGTCCTTCCACATGTATATGTGCAACTGAAGCGTGTCCCTGGCAAACTCAACATTGGCAGGTAATAACTAATGCTCATGTACAACAATTCAGTGCAATCAAAACCTGACTTTAGGAACATTTTGTGATATATGTTATAACTTTGTAGCTCCAAAAGATTTCTTTATCAAACTTTTTGTTATGCCATTAGATATTATAGGTGTTTTCGTAACTTTTGAATATCTCAGGTTTATTATATCTCAGGTTTATTATTTTATGTGAATTCAACAACAAGGTTTTAACAATTTACACTTTATTCAAACAGTGACGACTTGCTCATTGACTTGTTCATTGTATTGGTGGAGGTACTTCTGAATACCCTATGTTTGGGAGACTTGAGCTTTTTAATAAATTAACGTTAAACTATGCATATTTTTATATTGACAGAGAATGCAATACATTATTCTCAAAGGAGTGTTTATCATACCTTCTTAACCAGACAAAATATTTGAATCACGTGTGACTATGTATGCGTGTATGTGCTAGGGTTGTTTTATTGAGTTTATAGTCAATCTGTCGGTCGCAGTCGTTTAAGAAAAAGTTAGATCTTTGTTATGATATGATGTGATATAGTTAAAAATTACTCACAATATGTTAAATGGAGTGTGACGGACTACCCTTAAATATAGTTGTCGATCAGATGTCCATAAAACACACACCATCCCCCATATAATTGGTAATGCAAACGCGTGGGTCATCAGTATCCCATATGCCCTCCTCGCGCCTCTGCTTTTACTCTCGTACATTGCTTTCATCAGCGCATTGAACCTTCTCTCCGTCATAACTCGTGTTTTGCAAAAAGGAAATTACTAATTGTTTGAAAGTGACGGAACGATTTCGGAGCAGCCAATCACAACTGTGAAGTTTGTCGAACAAATATTCCACTAGGGGCCTTTTTTGAAATAAACGGTGGCATTTTAGTGTGGTATGTTTTAGTTATCCTGCAAGCACCATCATACTTATGCTGCATGTGGCCGGGAATAATCCGTTAAGTGAAATACGCTGAATGTTTAACAGATGACTACAAAGGCCACATGATTTAATCACTGTTTATTGTCTGATACCTCTAAACATAACTTAACCGATTCCAATGTATATCTCCTTAAAAAACGTAGACATCGGCGAACTATTAACAATGAACCAGTATATACGATTTCGCCAGAACTAGTGTAACGTTCGTTTAGTATGTGCCTATTTATGTAAAAACACACACACACACATGAGAGGCTGTTTTAATATACAATCAAACATGAGAGCACTAGAATTATCGTTTTATAAATATACACACTGCACTACGGGTATATATTGTATATCACCAGGATGTATGCACAGTGTGGTGATACGCTGGAATCCATGGAGGATTATGGCCTACGATTAAAAGGTAGCTATGAATAAGGATTATCGTCAAAATATATCTGCTTTTTTCAAACATGAAGTAATACAATTTATTTCAATGATAGAACTTCAAGGAATCTGTGTTAGAATGCAAATTTGGTAAATTGCATAAAACAATTATCAAAACTACATTTATGATCAAGGTCGTAAAACTGTTTCACGCTTTATATATACCAAAATATATGCACATGCATCTTTATCGTTATGATTAGAAAATATGTAGAAATATAAGTCAAGAGTCTTTACCCTTAATCACTTAATGTTTGTTGTAACACGAATGGAAACAACTACACAAGGTACCATGAACAGCACAATTTTACAATAAGAAAAAACGAGGTGTTTTTTATTTTATTTTCCTAACCATTGATTGGCATAGTGTTTAAATTGCCATACAACATTATCTCGTTTTTTCCAAGCTTTGTACTAGAGTTTCAAAAGATAGCATAAAACGATTATTCATCGCAAATTCTTAAAGATCACTCAAGTCATGCAATGTAAAGACGCCTACCCGTTTTGGTACAATTTAAATCAAAAGTGAATATAATTAAATTTATATTTTTTTGTATGCATTCGTAGTTTCAGTAAAAGTTGCCAAAAAGAAAGAATTATCTTCAAAAGATCGACAAGCCGTTATTTCACAACGTAGAACACGTCAAACATCAACGATGGATAAGCAAAACGTCACAGGTAAGTGTAAATATCTATATTTACAGTTGCATGATCGCACGACGTTAAACAGTGTGTAGATAATAAAAACAAAGCGAGATATTAATGAAGCGTGTACAAAACGGCTATTTGGAAGTAAAGCATAATAACAATACAAGCATAAAACCCTCTAATAATTGCATTGCAAGCAACAAAAATAAAGGGGAACAACTGTTTTACCATTTCGAGTTAATAGGAAATTGCTTTTTGTGTGGCCTGCGAAAAGCTGGTGACACATAGGTATTGCTATGTCGGCGGCGTCGGTGTCGGCGGCGTCGTCCGCACAGAGGTTTTCGTGCGATAACTTGAGTTTCGATGGGCCGCTCAAACTCATTCTTTATGCAGTGCTTCCTTTCCAGGTAGAACAGGCCGTAATGGCACAAAAAAATTATTTATTTTTAGCTTGCACCGATTAAAGAGATTGCGTTTCTCCACAAATATACAAAGAATACTCATTTATTGGATAGATTTCTTCAACAAATCTGTATTTATCCATGATGAGTTACATTCCATGTAGTCAACATAAAAACCAGGATCACTACAGATTTAGGAAAATGAAAGCGGTAAACATATTTCGTCGTTTTTTTTAAACAAAAGTAAAACTGTTAAAATAAGAAACAAGAAACCATTCTATAGGTTAAATGTTAAGGACTTTTGGGTAAAGGGTTCATGCAAAAGATTTATAGGAAATGTTTGAATAACTTAAAGTAGCACTTAAGAACGTTTATAAGAATTAAATAAATTAATCAACTCTCCTTATCATACAATTTTCCGTCGAAACGGATTGAAACAAAATACCATTTTTACACATTAAAATATATAAATGAAGTGATAAATCATGTCACATGCCATACAACTTGAAGCGAGTGTCGTTACTATAATAAGTGAGTAATGAATGTCTGGATGAACTCGGAACGCGTTCAATGCTACTAGCGTACCCGCCTGAAATAGTATGATACGGAATGAAAAGGTCGTATTACTAAATGGAACATGATCACTGTAGAGTTCTAATATTTATGTAGAAACCCACCAATGAACACGTAAGTTTACACCATGCTGTATTCACAGCACGTGACGTAATTACCATATACAATGGGTGTGACTATTATACGGATAACATTACCGATTATAACATGATTGACTTACGATATAACAGGCCATTACAATCACTACCATAAAGGGAGATAATTAATAAAGACTCGTTAATTAATCCACACGTACCAATTCGTAATATGCTTATTTCTTTCTTTTTATGTTTCAGCCGAACAGTTAAACGTTTCAGTGAAAGACTGAAAACGATCGAAGGAAGGACACATTTTTATAGAAAAAAAAACATAACAAATGAAAATTTTAAAGCTCAAATCGAAATACCAAGAATAGAAAATGTCAATTTATAAAATCCATTATTTGAATTCTGAGTGAAAGGGAAATCCTAGTATATGGTCCGCAAAGAATTACATGCTAAATTAAATATGGCAGATTATTAGGAATATCTAGTTTTTGTTATTATATGTGCATGCTAGGGTTGCCAATAATATATCATTGATGAAACAAGTAATGCCCTTCAACCTCGATGAGGTATAGCATATAAAGATACATATATAAACATATTTTAGCATAGCTAAGACAAACTAAAACAAACATTACGACTTTTTGAATATTTTCATTTTATATGATTTAAAAGTGTCACCGTCTGTGTAATAAATGCATGTGTGGTGTATGCGTAACATGTGTAAGTTGATCGCGCGAATCTGATTGCTGTTTCACTAAAACTACATGCTGATTACACCTGGCAACGGGTAGACCAGTAATTGCGCTCCTCCAATTTCTGAACGTTAAACAGGCAAAATGATGTCTCGAACTAAATAGTCTATACGTTTGAATGTTTCTTACAAATCATTACCCGTACCGTACCAATGGAACTTCGCCTAAAAATAGTATTATTTGCAGATATTTTTTGTCATCTATTGACTGTCGGAAGATAAACAACTCTTGCATAATGTTGCATAGGATCTGGACTGAAATATATCAGATAACCTATCAGGAACAAATATCTACCTTGTGCAGAGAAAGAATAGATCTGATGTATCCCTATGCATGTCTTAATAGGTTTTCTCTTAAGAATCGGGTTTTTTCTTCAATGTCGTTTTTAGAATACTTGGTTTGTTTGTGCTATGGTCCTTCAGTACGTGCCAGGTTTTGTGGTGGAGGAAAGCCGGAGTTCCCGGAGAAAAAACGCCGACCTACGACCAGTACCTTGCGACTGCCCCACGTAGGTCTGGAACTCGCTAGTGTTAGCAGAATGTTAGAGGCCTTAACCATTTGGCCACTGCGGCCCCTTTTAGAACATAGAGAAAGAAAAAAACATAATTTATTTGCTGCCTCCAATACTCAATTGGGTCTATATGTTTTCCTTTCTACCTTCACTAGTCGTTCCCTTTGGCGTTGTTCCTTAGGCACTTTTTTCCACGTGACCACAGCTTGCACAACGCACATGGAGGCACGTCCTCTAATGACCTTAGCTGTTAACAGGACGTTAAACAATCAGATCCAAACAAAACAAAACCTGTTGCTAGGATGTTTAATCCCAAATCAAACCAATCGCGTTCGGGTCGGGTCACGTGACACCACGACAGCTCATTTAACCGGTGTATGAAAATACCATTTAACACCGCAAGTATCAGTAGCACCCCCTAGCATAAGTTATAGTAATACATTCTAATTAAGTTTAACCAATACCATATCTTAAATACTGTGGCAGCTTAACAACCTTACTGAACGTGAAAACAACACTTTCAGTATGGCATTTGTGTACTATATCTATGTCCGTACAAAAACATGTTGTATATATTTTGTGGTGTTATTACAGACCAGGCGATGTGCGGAGATACCCATAGCTGCTTCCGGTACGTGATGTTTGTTCCTTATTTACGCTATTTATTTATATTAATATTTTGTCCATGTCACTATTAAGTTATAAATATTAATCAGTATTGCATGATAAATAGTGGTTAAGAAATACTAATCGTGCATGAATTGATAACTACACCATGAAAAAACGTATACGGTTATACCATAACTTACGAACATATATGATATCTTTCACTCAGACCTTTCGTTATAAACCGTATATATAGCCACTTCTCAAATGGACAAAAGGGTTTGAAGCAAATTGCGGAAATTGTCATTATTATAACGAGCTTCAAAAGCATTGATGAACATTATACTGTATGGTATTGTTAAGAATGTAGGTTTGTTATGCCTGTTTCTAAAATTGCATAAGTAAATTAAAAAGATTATGGTAGAACAAAATTCGGCAAAGCATTTATATGTATAGTTGTTCTCTACAACAGATCCATCGAAAATTTCCTAACATCAACCTCGTTAACTTTGGTTATGACAGTTTATATTAAGAAAAAGAGTGACCAAAGATGACAAGAGTTTATATATGCGAGAAATATGCAATCTTATTCTGCTAAATGTGTCGCAAGTACCATTTTTGTAACCATACTGCGGACGACGATATTTCGATATACCATATAGTTTTTAAGGTCACCTGAGCTTTAGCGCAAGTGACCTATTGCTATTCGTCCGTCGTCCGTTAACATTTTACATTTTCAACTTAAGCTGAAATACTGGGGAAGGGATTTTTATTGATACTTCATGGTAATGTTATTGACATCTCCTTGACCAAGTGTTGTTACTTTTCGGGTCGATCAGAAATCCAATATGGTCGCCATGGTCGCCATTTTGAAAAACAATTTCAAACATAAAGTCAAGTTCTGCTGGGCCAATTTAACTACAACATAGTAGGAATGATCGACTCATGGCCCTGGCAAAGTGTTGTTATTTTTCGTGTCGATCAGAAGTCCAATATGACCGCCACGGCCGCCATTTTGAAAAAAACTATTTAAAACTTAAAGTCAAGTTCTGCTTGGCCGATTGAACTGAAACTTGGTAGGAATGATCGACCCATGGTCTTGACAAAGTGTTGTTATTTTTGAGGTCGATCAGAAATCCATTATGGCCGCCACGGCCACCATTTTGAAAAACTATTTCAAACTTAAAGTCAAGTTCTGCTGGGCCAATTTAACTAAACTTAGTAGGAATGATTGACTCATTGACCTGACAAAGTGTTGTTATTTTCGGGTCAAACAGCAATCGAATATGGCTGCAATTTTGAAAAAATATTCAAAACTTTAAGTCAAGTTCTACTGGGCCGATTCAACTGAAACTTTGTAGGAATGATTGACCCATGGTCCTGACAATGTGTTGTTATTTTTTGAGTTGATCAGAAATCTAACATGGCCGCCATTATGAAAAATCATTTCAAACTTAAAGTCAAGTTCTACTAGGCCGATTTAATTGAAACTTGGTAGGAATGATCGACTCATATGGTCCTGACAAAGTGTTGTTATTTTTTGAGTCGATCAAAAACCCAATTTGACTGCCATGGCCGCTATTTTGAAAATAACTATTTCAAACTTAAAATCAAGTTCGAAAAGGCCAATATAATTGAAACTCGGTCTAGGAATGATCGACTCATATGGTCCTGACACACACAAGTTAACGTTATACTTTTAAAACTATTTTTTACTCAAATTGGTACATATTTCAACACCAAAAATAAATACTGTAGGACTCAGGTGCCCATGGGCCTCTTTTTTAGATACTGAATGATTCTACTTGAAAACGGAGCAAAGTGAAACAACTCATTTTGACTTTCTATGTTTGAAAAAAATGGAAGATGTTTGATTCTTGTTGTAGTTACGGTAAACCATCATGTCAACATATGAAATGTACGTACTTCGTGTCCTACCGAGTAGATGACCTTATCAACCGGAGAACAATTCATCTGGAGATCAGCGGCAAAGCACAAGGGTGGTTGGCCATGGGATTCTCGTCTGACAACAAAATGGTCAGTTAAACAAATCGCGAATATTCAAATTAGAATGCGATTGTCTAATTAACATTATCAATAATTTGTTAAAATAAAGTTAGTCTTACATCTACACATAAACGGTATAACAACACTACAAATATACGTTCCTAATGTGGGGCCTCTGCAGTATCTGATTGTTTTCTCGGCCTAATCATACTGGTAAGGAGTTGAGCTGTTGTTGCGATTACTCGTAATGCTGAACGCTAAGCAAGAAATATAAAAGATAAACAAAGCATTAAAAAATAATACTTAGATTTGCGCAGGAATGTAAAAAGCAATGAGTACATCTTTTAACCCGATATATTTTAATACAAATTATTGTTAACTGATATCACAATATTAGACAAATCCTGTTACATATACAATACAACATTATACTCCCTTTTTATCTAAATATGTAGATATTTGTACATTGTTTTGAGGTAGTTGATACTATTAATTATGTACCATTATCAGCAATAATGAGGCAGCTTCTGGATAATACTGTACCGAATGCTTTTTACTCTAAAGGGTGGAGCTGACATAATTGCATGTGTCAGGAAGGATGTCACCTCATCAGAATTCCGAGCAGCTGCGTTCAGCACTTCCTATTATCATGACACTCCAACAGAAAAGGACAGCTTTTCTAATTTGACGCGATACGAAGAGGCCGATGGCTATTTCTACTGCTACATTCAGGTTCCTTTCAAGCAACGAACAGGCAATTATGTGGACCTAAGCAACGACTGGTACCAACTCTATGCCTGGGGAAACGTTGTAACAGGTGTGTAGCTATTGACTTGTACATTGTACGCTTGTGTATTAATCAAATCTCGTTGGCCTATTGACAATTAAAAGTTTGTAAAAGACAATTTTTAAACAATATTAATATGCTCGTGCAGACAGTTTATATGACAGATTTTGATTATCCTGAGACTTTAACGTTTTGAAAGAGACAACACTCCCTTTTTCCTCCCTTCTTAATTCTCGTTTTGGTTCCGTCTCCCTTTGCACCAATCTTCGTATGATCTTTTTTGCGGGTCATTAAACGCTTAATAAATAATTGAACCAGTTGTTATCATATATAACTTTTGAGATTGTAGCTTTATTTTTCTGATTTTTTCAATTCAATTAATTCACGTTTGTTCCTCAACATCTGTTCTCAGGAGGAAAAATAGAAAGACACACCCATCAACCTTTGACATCTTTATCAAAGGTAAGCGTCATGTACAAAAGAAATGAATATGGAGCTGGAGAACAGATAAAGGGAGGCAACCTTCTCTATTTGTCGCTGCTGATTTTGTTCGTAATCCTGGTGTAAAACTGAGAGCACTATCGTTATTGGAACTTACTAATTGAAACACTCAATCCAGATTTGAATAAGAAGAAAAGGATCCTGCGGGTCGATATGGAACGAAAGAACGAAGGATTGACGCAGTTTCAACGATGTTTGAATAAACTTACACAGAGACTTACACAGAGAGGAATGACTATGTAACGTTCTATTGTCGCCGACACGTAATTTATATGTGTACGTGACGTATGTCTTCGCTTTCACAATTCTTCAAAGTATATTCCAACTGATAAAGCTGTGTCTTCGTCTTGAGTATGCATTGATCGTGTTTGTCAAGCAACTCCATAAGTTGTAAATATGATGTTAACTGCGAAATGCAACCTGTCAGGTTACCTGTATAAATCGTTAACCCTAACAGAGGAAAAACCTATCATATTTTGTCTTCCGTAAATACATGTATTTGTTCAGTGTGGTACGCATGCCTTACATACAGTTAACACCTTTTGAACTAACGGTAGCTTTTGTTTTTATTAAAAAGTAGGTTGTTAAAGTATGTCATACATATTGATATCGGAAGGGATACGCGTCAAACAACATTTTGAATAGGATTTTTCTTTTTGAAATATGTTTCTTAAGGCTACTATGTATTGCCAATGCTATTTTGTAAGGTTAATTAATTAGTTTTATCAGAACGACGAAAATGTGATAGAGCAAACTAAAATATATTAAAAACAACAGCATTTGTCCAAGATGTGTTTTGTGTCATACATGTCTCAAAGACATCGAAGACTTGACATGAACCATTAAACCATTGTGTTAAACGGCTGATACGAATCGTCCTTCTCAAAGTAGACTGTATATCGAGAACAAATTATGTGTAGAACAGGATCGTTGGGAAGATGTGAACGCTCAATTGCACGTATTTCCCTTGATTTGAGTGCATTATAATTGAATATATAAACGTAGCATGTTTGTTCTGTGTCTGGTTGTGTTAGAAACGCTGTCAATATATTCATGAGATGTCGGTGCAAGTAATGCACTGGGTTGTGTCACAGTCATTATATTTGTCAGATGATACCTTGTACACATTTTAATGTGTGTCTTTATACTCTATCATCGATTTTGATTTTTAAACGGCTACCTACTTGTGTGATAAAATGCATTGTTCCATACATTATATCTTTGGTGTCGAATTCAGCATCATTTTGATCAAGTGCAATTGATTTGTCAACACTTTCGGTTTTATATACATCGTTTTGTATCATCTTACAGACTGTTGTACTAAATACTTGCATGTGTAATAAGCACCGAGAAGGGCATTTTGCAACCTCAATTTAGCTTAATCTCATCATCATGAGAAAGTCGGTTATTTAAAACGCTTCTCATGTATGGCCTGGTTTCCGCACGTTTCCTCAGAAACTACCTCAGTGTTTTTAATGAAACTAAGCAAACAAGACCCCCTTGGTCCCTTTACACTGAGATGGGTCGACAAAACTCAATGGTGGCCAGGGGACCATATGAGTTATGTGAAATCAAGATCGGTACCTCTCAATTAAAGGAAACTACTGAAGAAATGATGTAAAAACGTTGTAAGCCTGATCCTATTTGTTCGTAGTTATTCATGCGAAATTGAACTTGATTTGAGGGAGCACTAACACTGCCATTTGTAATTGTGCCTGCAATTTGGAACACATCAGGGACCAAATTAAATCTGCTACTTTAATTGCAACATTTTCCCAGGACATACCCAATCAGGAACATACACAAATCCTTAAAATGGCAGTTATTATTCCCTGCTTAACGTTTAGCATTTAAGGGAATAACATCATCTGGTCAAAAGGCTTCATCAATACTTCAGGTGTAGGGCTCGCTTACGCTATCTGCGCCCATGGAAAATATCATGTCCAAATTGAAACAGCTTGTAAGCCCACCATCATCATAATGTGGGCTTTTAAAATCGACTTGCATTCGTGTTACCGCTATTTTTCAGAAAGTTTAAAATGGATCTTTTACAGATTTCATCTTTAGGTTCCCCTTGGTTCCTTGTTGTGTATATTTACTTTGGAGACTTCGGATAAACACAATAGCCGACAATCGGCCATCTTTAATTGAAACAGTGAAGGTTTGCTATCGCTTTTTCTTAGGAAGTAATGGAAGGATCTTTCTAAGAATTTGCAATGTTAGTTCTCTTTCTTTAGTTGTGCATGTTTACTTTTGAGACTAATTGAATAAACAAAATGGCTGACAGATGGCCATATTGGATTTTGATAGTGAAGGTTTGTTATCGCCATTTCTCAGGAAGTACCTAAGGGATCTTTCTCAAATTTCATATGATGGCTCCTCTTGATGTTTAATTGTGTATGTTAACTTTGAGACTGATCAGGTAAACAAAATGGCCGACATTGTTCATTTTGGACTTTGACAGTGAGGGTTTATTGTCGCTCTTTCTCAGTAAGTACTGGAGGGATCTATCTCAAATCTAATATATAAGATTTCTTCGGTGCTTTGTTGTGCATATTTCCTTTTGAGATTGATCATAAAAACAAATTGGCTGACAGGCGGAAATCTTAAGTTCAGATTTGTTACCACTATTTCTGTGAAAGGAAATCGGGGATCTTTCTCAAATTTTATACGAAGGTTCCCCGTAGTCCTCAGTTTTGCTTGTGTCATATTATGACTTATCTTAAAAACAACATGGCCACCAGGCAGCCTAACCTTGATATTTTAATATTTTGTTATCGCTATTTCTCAAAAAGCAACTGACAAATATTTCTTAAATTTCATAGTCCTTAGTTCATAATTGTTCGTGTTTTTTGAAACTGATTGAAAACAAGATGGTTACAGTGGTCATCTTTGATTTATGACATTTCAAGAATATTTTTACTTTCCAATGAAGTACTTTTTAGATCTATCTCATATTGCAATGATCGGTTCTATTACTTTCGCATGAAGTACATAAAGTAAATACGTGAAACGACAAACTCACTTTGAAATTTGTCGTTTATACCAGCAGTATGAAGGTTAGATAAAATTAAAATAACCTCAAGGTGCAATTAATGTTTACATGACTCTATCAAACAGATATGAGAAAAAAGTGATTTATCAAACTGACATAGAACTAATGAAGACAGTATGATGTTAAACTATCCCATGTGAAAATATCCAATCGTCAGGCTTTAAGTGGTGCGACACCTGACCTCAATATATAAGTATGTTGGTGTACTTGCCTTCTTGCGATAGCACGGATCTGTTGCCAACTTTATATTATTACACAGCTTTGTAACGTATAAAGGGCCTACCTATTAAATGTTACGATTTGGTGCGATACTGTCGCTGGGGTAGTACAAAGTCACATTGAAAACAGCTATCCCTAACCCCGAATTAGCAGGTTTGAGTTTGCCTTATTGTCTCTATCTGCAGTTTAATGGGCGTTGTGCACAAGTCCGCAGCCAATTCATCAGTTAGATAAATACTTGGTTATAAATTGAATATGTTTCCGTGTCGTGATTTTTTCCTATTCTACTCATTTATGATAAAACTATATACTGTGAGAATGATTTCTTTAAACCGCTTATGCAGTTAATCCCTTACCATGTGTTTTTGACGAAAAAATAAATTGTTTAAGTGTTGCATATACTATTTAACATGCATGTAATATTTAACATGCATATACTATTTAACGTCGAATGATTCAATATTTCAGTTGGTATAATAATGAAGGAATGACTATGCCACGAAACATAGTTACATCATCATTTGACAGCAAAGCACATCTGGAGGAAATGTAGTTTACATTGTAACGAAACTACGTTCAGTTATTGAGTTTAATACATTTTTAAAACAGTCTGCAATAGAGACCTTCATTTGAAATAATGCCTCAGTTGTAAAGTCATTGTAAAGGAAACTTCAGACCACCAAAAAAGGCAAATACCTTATTTGATTATGAAAAGAAATGTTGAACTTGTATTCATATTCATAATGATATTTTCTTTGCTTTTTTAAATAAACGTGATGAAAAATCCATTGCCTCTTTTTCTTGTGTATTTTCTTATTTTCTCTGTACTTATGATTGAATATGTGTTTTATTGATGTACATAAATACTAAACACATTATAATTGTTATTCCCTATGTGCTTACAATTTGAATTTGGATTTAAATTTGTTTTTAAAAGCACTTGCACCATTGTCTATTCTAGAAAAAGCACATTTTAAACATTATTTCCAATATTTGCTTGCAAAAAAATATCTAACAGATTATCGACAAAGTTAAAGAAGAATTCATATGTGAAATCTTGTAATTTGAAGTTGATCATGCTGTAGATATGTGGTCAACAAATATATTTCATATAAAGCAAGAATAATAGCATAGAAAAGTTCTATTAAATCACAATTAAAGTAGACTTGTATATTAAACAAATGTTTTCCTAAATGTTTCACTAGCATGCAGTTGTTAAAATACAGTTCTGATTTAGTTATATGATATTCAATAATGAATGAATAGTGACTTGTCGCAGCATTAACACCTATATTGTTCAACAAACAGACAAGAGTGTCACCGAAACCCTAATGCAAAATCAATCAAACGAGAGGGCTATATTTACAAAGAAAGATTCACTTGGNTATTCCAGGCCCTGTTTGTATAAAACTACTTAAGTATTGAGATTTCCTTAAATCTGAGGATTTCCTCAAATTATTTGAGATTCCTCAAAATGGCTTGCAAAAACCTTCCCCAACTCAAAACCTCTTTTCTCCTCAACTCTTGAGATTTTCCTCAAGTTCACTTGTATAAAAGTAAAATCTGTAGTTTTCCTCAAATAAATCTGATAATTTCCTCAAGTTTTTGAGGGAGCTTCATAGCAACCTCAAATATGGCTACATTAGCAAGTATAAGACGCCGAATGAGACAAAAAAGACGAAAACGAGTATTCTTACCGCGCGTAAACCTGGACGGAATGTCTAGAGAAGAAACGTTTTCCATGTATCGGTTTTCTCACGAGACATTGCTTTATATAGTGGGTCTGATACAGACAACCATTGTCAGGCCAACACGTAGGAACAATTCACTAACTCCCCTAGAGCAAGTGCTTTTGACCCTCCGTTTCCTTTCCACTGGTGCCTTTTCCGTCTCATTGGCGATTCTGTAGGAATATCTGAAAGTCAGGTCTCAAGAACTGTGATGTCGGTATGTTCAGCGATTGCCAGCTTGGCAAAGCACTTCATCCGCATGCCCGTTGGAGCAGAAGCAACGAAGGTGAAAGCAGACTTCTACAGAATAGCAGGTAAGATATTCTCATCCTTATAATTTGTGTTATTCACAGTTGTGGTGACGACAACATCCGGCTGTGTGTAAAAGTTAACCCGAAAGTCCGGTTACGCTTATGCGGTGACTTTCAATGGAACAAACAAACGAACATTCTATAACTTCCGAACAGATACACAACCGAATTCCGGTTACGCTTACTTAATTATGCGGTGATGCGGAATGGAACAAACAAATTAACATTCTGTAATTACCAATAGAAACACAACTCCTAGAACAAGTTTCCAAATAAACATTAAATAAATAAATGGTGTATAACAAGCATGTTCACATAATTCCTTCAGTTAGTGTTTTTAACTTTATTTAGACATGTAAAGTCTAGAATTTAAGGAAACTTCATATCATCACATCAGCGTAATTGAAAGCTTCAATTCAAAATAAAAAGCCAGGAACTTAAGAAGAAATCCACTGAATCATTTGCATGTAAAATTGAGATTATTAGAAGATATAAAGCAAATAAAAAACAAAGTAATTATCAAGTTTTAAAAGCAAGATAACGATTTTTACACAAGAGTGTAAATGATTTATTCTTTGAAAAAAACACCTTTGCAATGTTTCACCTTTACACTTGATGAGTGCATTTTCACATAAGAAAAAAAACAAGAGGTCCTGATGGACTTTATAGCTCATCTGGATAATAAAACAACCATGGGAAAGTGTTCTTATTACATAGAAACCCTCCAATGGTACAGAAATTGAGCAGAAGGATTTTAAAGATTTAAATCTCAAATTCCCCTATTACGCCCTGCAACTCTGCACCAAGAGGGGCCACACCAACTGTTTTACACAAATCTAGTCCCCTTTGCCCATTTGGGATGCTCCAGGACAAATAATAGGATAAAATGCCTTCAATGGTACAGAGGAAGGATGCTTTTGAAGACAAAAATCCCTATTTTGGGCCAGCCCCTCTGCACCCAGATGGGCAATACCTTTTGTTTATACAAAATTAAGTCCCCTTTGCCCCAGGATGCTCAAGGACAAATTTAGTCAAAATCCATGAAGCTGTTCAGGTTGAGGAGCGTTTTAAAGGAAAGTTGACATGCGAACAGACAACGGACTCCGTGATCGTACAGCATAAGCTCACCATGGTCCTTCGGACCACGGATGGGCTATAACCATTACAGCCGAAAATCTTGTACTATATGTTTAACAACACTTTTCAATGAAAAGGTGTATCAGTTTTGAAGTCAATCTGATGCTTGGATTATAAGTTATGCCCATTTCTAAAACTTCACAAAATTTTTTCTTTTTACCCCAAAGAGACCATTTCCTTTCAATCTCTATTTCTTAATCGAAATGTACATCTCATGCCACTGCTGCCTACTGAAAAGGAGAATCAGCGACAAAGTCAAAGGCGAGAAAAACAATACTAAAGTCATTTACACTTTATATGATATAGTTTATAACATCATCCCATCTAACTTAATATCAAATTTACATTTTTTTTATAAATTATACAAATTACCTTATTCATAAACTTTGGAAAAATAAGATATCAAACATAACTTTTACACTTTGCACATCATCACTTTTTCACCTCATACAAATTAAATATACAACCAAATTTAATTACACTACTATATAGCTAAACAACCTGGAACAGGTTATTTATAACACTACCCTGGAACATGGTATAAAGTTAGTAGCTAAACAACCTGGAACAGGTTATGTATAACACTACCCTGGAACAGGGTATACAGTACTATATAGCTAAACCACCTGGAACAGGCTATGTATAACAAGCCCCAGGGAACAAGGTAAACAGTACTTTAATAACCACGAACAGGTTATGTATAACAAGAGACTGGAACAGGGAATACAGTACTATATAGCTAAACAACCTGGAACAGGCTATGTATAACAAGACCCAGGGAACAGGGTATACAGTACTATATAGCTAAACACCCTGGAACAGGTTATGTATAACAAGCCC